CATGTTTAAATTATTATAATTTAAAAATAATAATTTTAGAAGACCTGAAAAAAATCAAGAACTTTGAAAAAAAAATTTTAATTGATAGATTTCCTGCCTAAACAAAAAACCTATGGTCTACTATTATCTTTCTTGATATCATTGATCTTTTTTTTGTAGAGTTTCTAAGTTCAATATCAGGGTTCCCACTTGTGTAATTAAAATATGTTTGCAAACCATCAAAGAACTATATATTCTGTTCATTATTATTAGGTATAACACAGGTAAACAATTTATGTTTTCTAAAATCTCTATGAAAACATGCCTGTTTTGAGACCAAGGTTGACATACTTTTGAATAATTTTTTTTTGACAATATTAGGGATTTTAACCAAAACTCTGAAGATTTGAATCCAAATATCTTTACAATTTGACATGATGGTGAAAAAGGAGTTGTATATTTAAAAATCAAAATGAGAAATGCAATACAAAAATTGAATTGTTTGCTCGACACTTGAAAAAAAAATTTTTGTTGTTAACCTGTGTAATCCATTCACTTGAATAAAATTTCCTAGATGATTAAAAAAAAAGGAGAAATTAAGGAGAGCTGTCAAATTTTAACTTTTTCAAAGGTTATTTAAGGACATTTAAAGAGGTTGTTTTTTTTAAAGGATATTTAAGATATTTTAAGGAAGATTGGGAACCCTGAATATCCTCTACAGGTGGTACAAGGTATTATGAACTTGGATCAAACAAATTACCACGCAATGATGTAATGGATATATTTTTGAATAATTTTCTCCAATAAAACATATACTTGCAGCTCTTTTTTTAAACTCTTTTACATTTGCAGATTTTAAATTATCTTCAAGTAACAAATTTTGAGTTCTTCTTTCTTTATCATAAAGATCAAGCTCTAACAAGTCAGAGAACATGTCAAACAACAGAGCCACATTTAAAAAAAAGCTATAACAGTTTTAACAACCAACTGCATTAGGGATCTATCCAATACCTCAAGGTATTTGCAATATCAATAAAGTATATTTATTTATAATATTTTTAAGACTGCAAAATAAAAAGTTGGTTCCTTGATCAGAAATAGCAACATTGGATCATTTGTTTTGTATTTCTAAGATATGGCTTCAAAAGTGTTGCAATATAACAGAAAAATATAAGCTTTACTACAAGTAGTTCATCTTTGATTGTTTTTTTTCTTTTTACAGCCAAATAACTTTTTGATGATTGCCTCTTCAATGCTGGTAGGTTCTGACAGAAATTAAATATCTTTATTACACTTTGCCATATCTCTTTGAGCTGTGATGCCACCTTTTGATTCTTAACCAATTTAAATGATTTAAATACTCTGACATTTATAAGATTTACACCTAAATATTTATTATTATATTTATAAAAATTAATTGAAACTGTGTTCTCTTACTAATATTATTGTATAATATTGGTTTTAAAGACTTTAAATGCCAAGTACTAAGTTAGAAGTTAAAAAACATTTACAAGCCTTTAAAAAAAAATTGCAAGGGGAAGATTGTAGAATCAGTAACAGAAATAAAATCTTTATGCATAGCAAGAGAATCAACTAAAAATTGAAAAGACCCTTTAATGGCAGCCTTCAGCCCCAAACATATGGAATCTGTACCTGTTTGATAAAATTCCATAAATGACAGGGAGGTTACAACTGTTAACTCAAACCAGTTTTTTCCCTTTTCGCCAATTGCTTTTCCCTGTCAGTTCACATTAGGATTATTCATTGATAGTTGTACTAACCATTCCTTTGCATTAAGCTTACCTCCATTATAGTAAATAAAAGGAATTGAGATTGAGCAACAAGCAAATTGTAAAAATTAACTACACCTGCTGAACTACTTGATTGAGTGTTTTTGTTTGTCTTTGAGTGTGCTTTAATGAATAATTCTGTGATCTTAAGTTTTTGTAACAAAAATTTTAAAATTTTTTCCTGCTTTTGAACCATCTTTTAATGAGTTATATATTTTACATGACTTTCTAATGCCATGACAACCATATTGCTTAATGCTATATAAATTTTGCAAAACGTACATATTGCTTAAGTTCCCAATGGTACTTTACATATCTATGAACAGAGGTAATTTTATGGGAGTAGGGGAGGGGGGTCCCAACCCCCAAAGAACATGATTATCAAGTTATAGTTGGGTTTTTTATGAATCTAGTCAGCTAATCGGGTATTTGACAGAATTCAGTCTGGTAAATTTTAGTTTTGAGGACCTTTTTTTTTTTAAAGAACCTGTCAGTACTTTTTTAGAACTCTCCCCCCCCCCCCCTCTCATTATATTCGTAAAATTGCCTCTGTTTATGAACTAAACTAAACAGCCAAGTATGTTGAAAATAGGTTTGTTTTATTTTTGTTAAACATTCAGAAAAGAAAAATAGCGCATATAAAATGAATGCTTTACAACAATACTGATCAAGTCTAAATTTCTGGTATAAAGCAAAAGAATTTAAAATATAAGAATTTGTTTGATTTTATTTAATTTTAAGAAAATTTATCAATATAGTTTAAATGCAATCAGGGTTATGTAAAATATAACAACATAGATAAACAAGACAAAATGTAAAAATGTTGTTTGATGCAAAAAATAAATTGAAAATGTGAAAACTTAAAGAATTGAGATAAATATCAAAAATAAGCTGTAATTATTAAGAATTTATTGAAACTTAAAAATTATTCAGGAATAAGGTTTAAAAATATTTAATTTCTTTTTTTTTTAAAAACATCTTCGCTTTCAACAAGGCTGCAAGCAACCACTAATTAGTGTTGGAAGTTACTGGAAGAGAAAAGATGAAGATTGTAGAGCAAGATAATGATTGAGAGACGACTTAAAAGATTGCAAATTATATGAATCAGGAAAGCAAATTCCAAAGAACTGATGTTCAAGGGAAAAAACTAGACAAATAAGAGTTTTTGAAGCACTTAAGAACATTAACAGAAAAAGGATGAGACTTAATTGAATGACAAGTAACACAAGAATGAATTTTAGTAGATGGCACAAGAGACACATTATAGTATTTGTAGAAAAGAGAAAGAGAAGCAACATTATGACGATGTGACAAAGGTTGAAGGTTAACTGCAAGGCAGCATCAACTATGTTTATAATGCATTTTTGCACCTTGTCAAAAAGAGAAAGAGCATCATTAGAAAATCCACCCCAGATATGGCAAATATATTCTATACAAAGTCGGATTTGAGATTTATAGAGATAGAGAATAGAATCCAGAGTTAGAAAGTGTCGAGCTTGATAGAGAGATGCAACTTTAGCAGATGCTAATTTTGTAACGGATTTGAAATAAGGTTTACAAGAAAGATCAGAAGTAAGAGTTAATCCAGTAATATGAGATAACTCATCCAGTACATTACGGTTCATAATTATAGGAAGGTCTAAATTATTGCGATAATGATTGGCTGAAAAAAAGTTGAGTTTTATCTGAATTAAAGTTCACCAGCCACTGTGAGCCCCATGCTGAAGCAGAAGTGAGATCCTTTTTAAAAATACTAACTTGAAGATTTTTGACAAACTTTAGATAATAGATTATTTTTTAATTTTATAAAAATAGAAAACTTAAAAAATAAAATTATTAAACAGTAAATAATATAGTTATATTTAAAATGATTAAATTTAAACATTACTAACTTTAATTTTCAAAATATAAGAAATATTTACAATTTATTACAACAATAAGTATAAAAATTTAGAATTTAAAATATTTTAATATTTCCTAACTAAGAAAAAAAAAAAAAAAATGTTTTCCCTGGCCGCTATAAGAATTCCCAAAAATTCCCTGACATTTCTTGACCCAGTTGAAAAAGACTTTTACTTATTACTTACCCTGACTTTTATTTTATCGGCTATTTTAAATAAATTAAAAACAACAAAATATACGCTATATGTGGGCAACCTTTGCAAAAACAACAAGATTTTTTTTTCTTGCATATATTAATTAAGTTTAGTATAATTTAGTTCAAATCTTTTTTTAATAAATTTTTTATTTGTTTTCGTTTGTCTGTAAAAAATGTATTTTGATTTGTTTGGTTTTGAATTAAGAAATAAATTTCAACTTCATACTATCTTAACCCTTCATGCTAAAAAACAATACTGAAATTTCCTTTTCCATAAAAAGTATTAAACTCTGAATTTATATTTTCTACTAGATTTTTAATTAAAATTAGTTACAGCTTCATGTCAAGTATCTTTAAAAAACATATACTTTCTGTCTAAACCTAAATTGTTAACTGGTAATGTTAAAACTCAAAACCTAAGTTTGTAGTAAAGCCCAAACTTTACAAAAACTGTGTTTTTTAACCATGATTTATTTTAGTCAACTTTTCTTTACTAAACTTTATCTAATTTAGATCTTGCATCACATTGTAATAATATATTGCATGTGTAATATTATAATATTACTCACTAACTTATTTTAATCGTTTGTTTGTTTGTTTGTTTTTGTTTTTGTTTTTTTACCTTTTTTTATGTTTTTATTATTATTTCTTATATTTCTTTATGATAAACTTCATCACTAAACTTTTGGTGATTTATTTTTTACTTTGGATCAAACACTCACTTTCTGAAATAGTAACTCCAGTTCCTTTTAAACTATCTTAATTAAATATTTAACCTCATTTGTAAAATTTCATTATATACTTTAAATGTTAATTGTAATATTTATTTTTTTGCTTCGAATTAACACTAAAAATTTGTTTAATATTCTATTTTGTAAGCTTGAATATTTGACAATCTTACAATTGTGTTTTCTGAATACTTTGGAAACGATTTAAGAGAACTAATCGGACATAGAGAAAATGACAAAATGCAGTTATACATTTTTTTTTTCAAGTAAATGTCGCATTCTAGTAAAATAACTCTATACTAAACGTTACATTCTCAAAATTTCAAAGATCTTATACCAACTTTGGTGTCACTTTTAAACTTATGCTATTTAAGTGATAATAGATATGGGAAATATGCAACGTACCTCGTGGCATTCTTTTATAAATTATTAGTAGTAAAGTTGGTAAAATATTCTCAGTAGACAACGCGACGATTAATTTTGGATATCCATTACCGGACTACGAGAGTCTACTGAATTAAACATTGTGCCTCACGGTCCAAAAAGGTTTCGTGTCTATTATATTGAATTTCGTTTTCTCTTTTTAAAAGATGAATTACAATTTAGAAGAAAAGTCGTCCTCTAAATGCTTTGATGGTTATATAAAAGTATATACCCATGATAGCACAGAAGTTAATACAAAAATGACTTTTGCTGTGTATCTTCCTCCATTGGCTGAGTCTTCAAAGTGTCCCGTTTTGTATTGGATATCAGGATTAACTTGTACCGAGCAAAATTTTATCACTAAATCTGGTTTCCAAAAGTTTGCATCTGAATTAGGAATTATTGTTGTTTGTCCAGATACAAGTCCTAGAGGAGCAAATATTGAGGGTGAAAATAATAGCTGGGATTTTGGTTTAGGGGCATCATATTATGTGGACGCAACTGAAGAAAAGTGGAAAAAAAACTATCGCATGTACTCTTACATAACCAAAGAACTTCCAGATATAATTTCGAATAATTTTCCTGTATTAAAAGATGTTCAATCTATTATTGGCCACAGTGTAGGTGGTCATGGTGCATTGATTTGTGCTTTGAAAAATCCTGTAAAGTATAAGTCTGTTTCTGTGTTTGCTCCAGTAAGCAATCCAATTAACTGTCCATGGGGTAAAAAAGCATTTACAGCACTTTTAGGACTTGATCAAGAGACTTGGAAGGAGTATGATGCTTGTGAACTCGGTAAAAAGTATGAAGGACCGCTACTAAATATATTAATAGATCAGGGCTCATCTGACAGTTTCGCAAAAGATCAGTTGTTAACTGAAAATTTTATTAAAGTTTGCAATGAAAATTCTTTGCTAAAAGTTAATTACAGATTACGAGAAGGATATGATCATGGCTATTATTTTATTTCAACCTTTATAGAAGAACATATTAGATACCATGCTGCTGCATTGCTTAAAAGTGTTGAGTAAAACAGTATATGTATATATATTGTTCTTATTTAAGATTAAGTCTAAAGTTTTAATTTGTTCTTACGAATTTATGTTTAAGTTTTTTTTGTCCTGCAAGTTTGCATGTTTTTTACTTGTATTTAAATTCTGAAAAGTTATTTTTTAATCAACAAAATTTTTAATTTGTTAAATTGTAGTTAATTTTTCTAAAACTTTTGTTTTATTTTTGTTATTTTTTATCTCTCTGACTTTGATTAATATATATTTTTAAAATCTTTTTTTTTTTAGAAATTTTTTTATTCTTCTTTGAAATATAGTTCAAAGTAGATAAATATCTTTTTACTATATACCTTTTCCTGATTTGATCATCTTGTAAAAAGATAACATTTTACCTTATTTTACCTTATAAGTTTCACATGTTTGCTCACAGATTTCCATTTTCCCATTATTTATTCCATTATTCATATTTAAATATAATGGCATATATATATATATATATATATATATATATATATATATATATATATATATATATATATATATATATATATATATATATATATATATGTATTTCTGGTCTTTTCAGGTTTTGACCTGTTTTGCAAATTTATCCCATCCCCAAATAAAATGGTTGTTTTGTAACAAAGTTTTTCTTCTCTTAGATAATTTTCATTAACCAGGGCTAAAGGGCACATGCTCACAAAATATCTTAACAAATATTGTACTATAGTTTAAGTGTCAACTATATTCTAGTTTTTTCAGAAGAAGTTAAAGAATAATTTAAAAGTTTTTTGCCATGATAAATTCCTATTATATCTACATTATACCTGCCCAAACTCTCAGTTAATATGTTTACTGATACCTGATATTGTTTTTAAAAAGCTCATCAAAGGTCAAGCTGGGTTTTGCAAAAAATTCATCAAAAAGCTTGTAAAAATACACTTCCAATTTCTAGTTTAAAATGTCATTTTTTTATGCAGTAAAATCCAAAAATTAGCAGAAATAGTGCTGAATATAAGTGTTTTTTAGCAAAAAAAAACAATATTTACCATTAAAAAAAAAACAGGGTTCCCACACCTCCTTAAAAACCTTAAATATCCTTAAAAAACAAAAACCTCCTTAAAATAGTTTTCAAACCTTTTTTTGTTATCATATATATATTAATATATATATATATATATATATATATATATATATATATATATATATATATATATATATATATATATATATATATATATATATATATATATATATAAAGTAATAATAATTTCTCTGTTTATATTTAAAATTTATTGAAAAAAATAAGATTGTTTTAATGTAATCTTTTTCTCCTTAATTATCCTTACTTTTTCTTTCAAAAAAATGTCGTTCGCAACCAAATCTCCATAAATATTAGGAAAATATCTCCTTAAAGTCCTTAATTTTAGCCTTAGTTTTAATAGTGGGAGCCCTGAAAAAGGTTCTCAATTTTTAATTTGGGTAATGCCCAATTACGGTTGACACTGTCAAAAATGGTCTTAAATAGCCCCTGATTGATATATATGTGTATATATATATATATATATATATATATATATATATATATATATATATATATATATATATATATATATATATATATCAATCAATCAATCAGGGGCTATTCAAGACCATTTTTGACAGTGTCAACCATAATTGGGCATCACCCAAATTAAAAATTGATATATATATATATATATATATATATATATATATATATATATATATCAATCAATCAATCAATCAGGGGCTATTCAAGACCATTTTTGACAGTGTCAACCATAATTGGGCATCACCCAAATTAAAAATTGATATATATATATATATATATATATATATATATATATATATATATATATATATATATATATATATATCAATCAATCAATCAATCAATCAGGGGCTATTCAAGACCATTTTTGACAGTGTCAACCATAATTGGGCATCACCCAAATTAAAAATTGATATATATATATATATATATATATATATATATATATATATATATATATATTTATATATATATACTAGAGATGTAGGTCTCAAGACTCATATTCAACTGTTGAAGCTTTTGTTTTGGTCTCGGTCTTGAATCTTGTAGTCTTGCTCTTGAAAATCTGAAGTATTGATTTCGGACCTTTACTGTCTTGTACTTTCTTGATTCTTACAAAAATTATCAACACAATGGATGGATTAATAACTAATAAATCATTGATCACAGCAACTTTCTGCTCCAGTCTTTGTTAAATTGTAAAAATATAAGTTGCAAAGTCAAATAATACAAAGTTGTCTGTTTTACTTTGAGAACTTAAGGTGCATAAATAAGATTTTTAAACTTTGATTTTTTTTTTTTTGTTTTTTTGGTAGCTACATGTCTATCATTTATGCTATATGTATTCATAGTTTCACAGTGTGATGGTCTTGCACCATTTTTTTATTAGTATTTTGTTTTTAACAATACAAGTTTGTTTTCTGTTGTTATTAAAGATATCTTTAGTAGACATTTAGCACAACACAGTATACAATGACATCTATATACTTGTCTAACTATTACATGTATAATTGTTAGTTAATTATAAATATTATACTAATAATGCTTTATAATAGACTAATGTGTATACATGGTATTATAATAAAATACATCAAACAAAGGCCTAATTATATACATAATTGTGTGAGAATTATTTTGTTAGACTTTTAAGAATGTAAATCTTGACTGTTGTCTTGTAAAAAATTTAAATTCTTGGCTTTGGTCTTTAGCCCAAATGTCTTAGTTTTGGTCTTGGCCTTTACTGTATTGGCTCATCTCTGATATATATATATATATATATATATATATATATATATATATATATATATATATATATATATATATATATATATACATATATATACATATATATATATGTATATATATTTATTTATATATATATATATATATATATATATATATATATATATATATATATATATATATATATATATATATATGCACACACACTCACACATACACACACACACAAATGCACTTGTATTGAGGTTAAATACATTTAGTCTATTACAAAAACGATATTTCTAGATTCCGTAATTTAAATACAAATATATGTAATTAGCATTTACAAAGACAATATAAATGTTTTAGATTAAGAAAAAAAAAATATTGTAAATTGTTTTTTAAACTGATGATCAACTTTAATTAACTTTATTTATTACCTAAATCTTTAATTGATTTTTAATCATTTAATTAAATAAATACATTTGTTTTTAAATATAAGAATAAAGTTTAAAAAAATGATATATATCTAGAAAATATTTTTTTGTTTTAAAACTCTTTATTTTTTGTTATTTTTAACTTAATATGAAGTAATTGAAAAAGAATTACTGAAACTAATTGATAAACAATTAAAGAATTTGTAAAACAATACTGATAAAACGGTATACTAAATAGAAGAGTAAGACAAGTCTTAGTATTACTTAAAAAATATTACCTATTATTACTAGTATTACTTAAAAAGAAATTTTTAAATAGTTTTAGTGTTGAAAATTAAAAAAATTATTTGTTACAAAATTAAAAGTAACAACAAATCTCTAGGTTTTTCCCAAAGAAAATGCCAGTCAACTTAGTTTACAAAGCACAAATACAGTGGCGTCGCTGAGGTTGGTGTCACCCCTTTAGACTAACAGGTGTAAGGTGAAACTTAATTAAGTAGTTTATACCTCAAAATTTCAAAAAAAAAAAAAAAAAAAAAAGGGTCCTTTAGAAAAAAAATTCTGTCATAATTGTCTTTTATTCATTTTTGTACCACCCCTCTGTGACATGTTGAGATGATGTCACCTCTACACAAATACATTTTAATCAAATACAATTATTATAAAAAAATTTTAATTAAATATGATATATCACACTATAGTCTAATATTACCATAGTCTAATATAGAAACAATTACGGATTTGACCCCAGATACACATATGTATATATAGTTACATATAGGTCATACTGCTAAGTGTTGATTGGTTTATTTTTGTTCTATTGTTTTTTAATTTTATAATTTAGTGTGCATAAGTTTTTTAGATATTAAAAAAAGTTGTTACTATAATTTAATTTTATTTATAAATTCTTAATTAATCTAAAATTTACAGTTATTAGAAAAATGGAAAATATTATAGCAAACATTGATGACATTCGTTTTGATATTGAAATTGCATTAGAAGAACAGCTTGGGATACAACCTCTTCCATTTCCTGGAATGGACAGTATAAAATTTAGTGTTTTTTATTGTATTTTTAATTTTTTATAACACCAGTATATATAAATTAATTTTATAATATCAGCTTATGAAAATTAATTTTATAATTTTTATCAATTTTTTGTTGTCTTTTTTATGACATTATAGAATCTGGTGCAGCCATTTGTGATTTTTTTATAAGTAATCGCTGCACTCGAGGACAGTTATGTCCACTACGTCATATTAGTGGTCATCAAATGGTTGTATGTAAGCATTGGTTGAGAGGTTTGTGCAAAAAAGGAGATAACTGTGAGTTTTTACACAAGTATGATATGGAAAAAATGCCTGAATGCTACTTTTACATAAAATATGGTCAGTTCGTTTTCACTTTTAAAATTTTTTTTTAACTTATTTCCTTTTGGTGCATTATTTAAAAAAATTGATATTAGGTCAGTGTAGCAATAAAGAATGTCCGTTTCTTCACTTGGATCCAGCTGATAAAATAAAAGACTGTGCTTGGTATGAGAGAGGTTTCTGTAAGCATGGTAAGTGTTATATCATTTTTTTTTTTGTTTTATTTATAAATGATTCAATGATTTTTCAGTGTATTAAAGTTTTGTGTAATGCTTTGAAGTCTACAAATTCAATCTCTGCCACCTCTTTCTCCAATCAGGTTTATATATATATATATATATATATATATATATATATATATATATATATATATATATATATATATATATATATATATATATATATATATATATATATATGCACACACACTCACACATACACACACACACAAATACACTTGTATATACTTGTATTGTACACACACACACAAATATATATATATATATATATATATATATATATATATATGTATGTATATATATATATATATATATATATATATATATATATATATATATATATATATATATATTTGTGTGTGTGTGTACATATACAAACAGCCCTCGGAATCAACCATATTAGAGGTTGGCATCAGGTCGGCAAAAAAATTTGACACAAGGTTTTACCATAAAACATAGAATCAAGGTCGGCAATTTTTTACTGACCTCAAATACTTATATATATACAGTTAACTCTCGGTATCTCAAATATGTATATATATGTATATATATATATATATATATATATATATATATATATATATATATATATATATACATATATATACAGGGCCTATTCTACGAAAAAAATTTGGACTTTAGCGGAAAATTAGCATAGGCTTACTCAGACTCGATGCTTGTTGGAGGGATAGTTTTCAAGATTGGCAGTTCTCTTTCCAGTAGCTTCATAGACCAACATTACTTTTGAAATGGCTTAAAATTCGTTGTTTGAATTGTTTTTGAATGAATTCTAAGTCATCTGGATTCGTTAATAGTCTATACAACAAATCTTTGGCAGTCTTTTGAAGTACAGATTTGAAGACATTTTGAAAATTCCATGTTCTTCAATTGGGTAAACATTCTGGATTGGTAAGGTATCTGTACAAGCTTACAAGATTGCTCTGCCTTCTCTCTTCAAAACGCCTCAAAATTGCACTCAAATCAAATGTAGAGAAACATCTTATATCTCAATATTTTTCTGAGTAAATCTTTAACTTTGAGAAACTGTTCCATTTTGTTCTGCAGTCAAGGATAAGTGAAACCTCTATTCTGTGCTGTTTCTTAATTTCTTCTTGGAGAACATCATTTTTGGCTGGAGGTTTTCGAAACAACTTGACAATTTTTTCGGACTTTTGTGATGACAGATTGCAAGTACACTTTCACTTTTGGAATGGGAATGTTTTCATCCATGGCAGCATCAAGAAAACTGACTTAGGTATCAGATTCAATTTCATCACTGCTGGGAGATTCCATGTGAAAACATCCAATTTTTTTTGAAAATGCAACCCTAAGTCTCAGATTTTGCTGATTTTTACACCACTCAAAGATTTTAATAAATTATGAACATTCCCAAAATTTTATCATCTAATTCCAAACGGTTCCAAAGATATGACTATTCAAACTTTGCCTTGAACCAACAAAATTCCGCCATTTTAAAAAATGGTTTTGGTCTTTGTTTCTGTTCTGTATACAATGGAAAGCTGAAAATATGTATGCTAACATATTTTGAGGCAAGGAGTCCAATAAAACAACTTAAAATTTTTAAAAATAAACAGAACACCTGTAATTTTGACCTTTATCGCAATTTTACTGGGGCGAGTTTAATTACAAAAATGCCGATGTAGCTTGATTTTTTTTTTTCTTTTTTTTTTAGATGTCATCCTGAATAGTTTAGTTAGAGTTGTTACAAAGAATTGGAAAGTGGTCTTTTCTTAAAATGGAAAAAAAACACGGTCAAATTTACTTAAATTTGTTACATATAAAACAGGAATTATGAAAAATCAATGGAAAAAAAAGGTTGAACTCTTATGTGCCTTATGCACAGAAGTTGGTATTTAATAATTTTCTGGAAATTTTTCCACTTACCCTGAGCTTATTATGACCCCCTCCTTCCTCCTCCTCCCCACTTTCCCTCTTTTATTAAACTTTTTATTCTTCTCCTCCCCCTCTCTCCCCCACCTTCCCTCGTTTATTAAACGATATTAATATGAACAAAAAAACTGTACCTCATATCTAAAAAAAAAAATTTCAGGTATTCTTTTTTAAACTTTGAGACTGGTTTAGGTCTTAAAAATTAGACAATATACTTATAGGGAAAAAAGTCTCCACTCACCTTTTTGTTAAGACTACCTTTCTCTCCTCCCCGCCCTTCCGTCTTTCCCATCTCCCCCCATTTATTTAATATAGATAAAAATTCCCATGTATTAAGCATCTGAAAGTAACTTGACAGTTATGAAACTGAAACAGCTTTGACCATATCGAATTGTTCCTTTAATAGTTGCTGACTTGCTTTTTCTGTTTTCTAGGTAATTTTATAAAATTGATCTTTAATTTCAAAAATTTATTATTATTTTACTGGGGATGAATTCAATTATGAAAATGCAGATGTAATTTTTTTTTTCAAAAGTTGTCTTGAATAATTTAGTAAGAGAATTTTCAAAAGTAAAAAAAATTATCAAATATATATCATTAGTAGATAAATTTAATGAGGAAATTAAGAATCATAATCTTAATTATTATTTAAATTATTTAAAAATTATAATCTTTATTATTTTTTAATTATTAAAAAATTTAATAAAATATTTAAAAACATTTTTATTTAATGTTTTTAAATATTTTATTACTATACTAAACAAGTTTTGACTTAATTTTAATGAATAATAAATAATTATTTTTTGATTGACAAGTGACCAACAATTGATTGAGACAATTATTGGTAAATTTTTAATAAATCAATATTTAATAAAGTTGTTTACCATCACCTATTGCCACATTATACGTGCCACAACATGCTTTATATGATGAGCATTTATTATTTTATTTAATTTGGCATTTAATAGTTTATAAAAATGCGTCTAAAAGGTAATTCATTGTCAGAATGTAATAATCAGTAGAATATCATAGCAGATATAACTCTGTTTGTTTACCTGAAAATAATTTAATTTATTTTTATCTACCTGTTTTTTTACCTGAAAATAATTTAAAAAAATAGTTCTCACAACAATAGGTAAGGAACTTCCAATTAGGCAACATAGTGCAATAGTGGCAAGTGTTATTGCTATTTCAGAAGGTGATTTTTATAATTTTGCGCTATAATTTTCAGAGTTGTGGAGGAATTTGTAAATAAAGGAAGAGAAATGATAACAAAACATACTGGTCACTTGCACTCATAATTAAGCATAACAATCTTGCTGAACCTTTTCAATCAATTGACAATTTAAGTTTAATATTTTTGTCCAGATGTAATATATGGGGAGTGAAAAGGAAAGGGAAAGGATTTTAATAAACAGGTGGGTGGAAATTTTTATTTTTATTTCTAACAAGGGAAGGAAGGGGGGGGAGAAGAATAAAAAATTTAATAAAAGAGGGAAAGTGGGGAGGAGGAGGAAGGAGGGGGTCATAATAAGCTCAGGGTAAGTGGAAAAATTTCCAGAAAATTATTAAATACCAACTTCTGTGCATAAGGCACATAAGAGTTCAACCTTTTTTTTCCTTTGATTTTTTATAATTCCTGTTTTATATGTAACAAATTTAAGTAAATTTGACCGTGTTTTTTTTCCATTTTAAGAAAAGACCACTTTCCAATTCTTTGTAACAACTCTAATTAAACTATTCAGGATGACATCTAAAAAAAAAAGAAAAAAAAAAAAATCGAGCTACATCAGCATTTTTGTAATTAAACTCGCCCCAGTAAAATTGCGATAAAGGTCAATATTACAGGTGTTCTGTTTATTTTTAAAAATTTTAAGTTGTTTTATTGGACTCCTTGCCTCAAAATATGTTAGCATACATATTTTCAGCTTTCCATTGTATACAGAACAGAAACAAAGACCAAAACCATTTTTTAAAATGGTGGATTTTTGTTGGTTCAAGGCAAAGTTTGAATAGTCATATCTTTGGAACCGTTTGGAATTAGATAATAAAATTTCGGGAATGTTCATAACTTATTAAAATTTTTGAGTGGTGTAAAAATCAGCAAAATCTGAGACTTAGGGTTGCATGCCCTGGATGTTTTCACATGGAATCTCCCTGCTGACTTCATCTTCGTTGCTTGTTACTTGCAATATGTTGTTATTGATTTATCGGTAAGGCTTCTTGTACAGCACTTCTTGAACTAAATTCCATGGGTTTAAAATGAATTCCATGAATTCCAGAGAGAGAGAGAGTCGTTCAAAAAACAATAGTTTTGAAATATATCTATAGCATGCACCTTAATGTTTTTTTAATATCTTGAGGCACTCCTCAAAATATTTTAAAAAATATTTTGAGTAGTACCTCAAGACCCTTGAACCTATAATGGATCTCTAATATTAATAAAAAAAGTTTTTCTTGTATTAATGCACTTTTTCAGTTTTAGTTAAAAAGTTTAAATTTTTATGCCATAAAATCTAAAGTAGTTATTATTTTTGAACTTTTTAGATTTAATAAGTTAGAAATGTGTGATTTTTGAATTCTTTTTTTATTTAAAATGACTTGTTTTTCATTCCTTTTTTTAGTATTGAATTTTTTTGTAACAGTTAATTTCTTAGCTTTGCATAATGTCTCAACCACCAATAAAATTGCCTTAGAAATATTTAAAAACTGCCTTTTATTAGTTGTGTATAATTTAAATAAAATTACATAAATTTTATAATTTAATTGCTGTGTAAGCAAAATTAATATATTAACTTATTCTTGTTTGGAACTGCATAATTTAAAAATAAATTTCGTTAACAAATTTAAATTTAGGACCTCATTGTAAAAACAGACATGTTAGGCGCTTAATGTGCATAAACTACATGTGTGGTTTTTGTCCTGATGGTAAAAAGTGCAAATATGCACAGTAAGTATTTTTTTTAATTTTTTTTTACGTTTCATACAGTACAGTTTTTTTAATTTTTTATTGATGTCTTTTTTAGTCCAAATTTTGAAGTGCAACTGTTAGAAGATCGCAAACCTTTTTCACACATTGTGTGTCATGCTTGCGGTGAGCAGGGGCATAAATCTACTCATTGTGCTGTTGCAAGAAGGTTAGCTGCTGAAGCTGCTATGAGAGTAATTTTTTTTAATGTATATGTGTGTGTATGTGTGCATATATTTAAAGTGTAGAGAAAACTACTTTTTATGAAGTTTAAATTTTCATGTCTAATGGCTATCATCAGCCATGTCTAATAGCTATTATCAGCCAGCACAAATACAAGTAAAAAAAATTTTAAAATTTTAATCTGGAGTAGAATGAGGTCAAATGTCTTCAATAAAAGAAGGCACAATATAAAATTGGTCACCAGTATTCAGTCTTTTAGTTCAGACACATCCTAGACTTCTAACCTAAAAATCCAACTGTTTCGATACTGTCATATTTACTGATCTTCTTTTTGTTTTTAAATTTTAAATTTTGCTAAAATTTACTATTTTTTATTACAAATATTTTTGTCGAGAGTAGACTAATGCAATAGGGGGGCTGAAAAAAATAAAATTTTTATGTTACTTTCAGGGTAGAGCCAAAAAGTTGTTTTTATACATAAGTGACTTCTGTGCAAAATTTCAACACTAAAGTACAATGTCTTCTGTTCTGGCAAGTGACTTAAAACTTAGTAAAATTTCCATATTTTATATATTTTTGAAATGTTTTTTAAGCGTTTTAGCACTTTGCAGAAGTGTGCAAAAATTGCACCTATATATGGTTAATTACCGTTCAAAAGTTGATGGCCAACGGAAAATATGTTCTGTTCTGGCAAAGAAAACCTGAAGTCATACCAAAATTGTCAAAGACATTGTTTTTTTTATTCTTTTGATTTTTTAAAGTTAACTTTTTTAATGTAATTTCAAAACCAGGTACACATTTCAATTAGAATTAGTGCATCTGTTTCTAATCATTTTTCAATTTTTTTTCTAATATTTTAAATCTCTTAATACAGTAACTTTTTGACTTATACACAAGTATGTGCAGTATGTTAACGTTAAAATTAAAGTTTAAAAATTAATTTGTATTTTTTATGATCTGTGCACAAGTCAAGGTTGTTATTTTGTCTTAAAATTATCTCCACTTGTATGCGAACATATATGGTATTAACTATTATTTTAGCAGATTATTTTCCAGATAATCGTTATTAGTTAGTTAACCAATAATTATTCATAACTGATAAATTATTATAAGTTATTGCTTCAGGTCGTGAGTAAGAAAGAAAACAGCATTAAGAAACAAAACATGGTAAAATTTTCAAAATTTTCAAAGCAAAGAGCATTAGACTGCCCGTTTTTTCGGATTACCGTCAGATTTTGGTAAGATACTTTGAACAAAAGAAGATGTTGTTAAATGTTTAATTTACGAAATGTGACCCGCATTTTCTTCCATATCATATTTTGTTTGTAAAAAGCTGCAACTACTGTATTCTGATGCATCCATTTTGATAGTTTCAAAGATACGTGAAATGATTCAAGCATATCACAAAAGTTTTATCAATATCAAGTCTGTTTATAAAAGAATAGAAAAAAAACATGGCAACTAAAGCACAAGTGGAAAAATTTAATGAATCAAGCTTTCTTTTTGATATAGCAGCTTGTAAGTGCTTTATATTTGCAGACTGCAATTGTCTAAAGGAATCCAAGATACCCTTTGAAAGAATAAACATTTCTTGCTGATCAGAGAACAGATCTAATCTGCATTAGATCTCTCAATTTGCAAGAAACCAAAAAACTCCAAGCATGTGCTGAAAAGGAGAACAAAAGAATTCCTTCGTATTTCAAAATCTACTGGGTTTTGCTTATTGCAACCTGATGGTAACAAGGTTTCATCAACATCAAGTTTCTTGGATGAGGATAAGGCACCTGAACCTAGTGACAACGACTATAGTCTCAGACCATTGTCTTCATCTTTTTCACAAATGTGTATGAAACTTACTAATACCGCTTTAATAAGTCAAAGATTTGGGGTATTGCTTCAAGCGAAGTTAACTGCACCTTGCCCTCAGTTGAACCAGATGTATCTGAAGGATATTGCTCTTGCCATTAGCTCAGGCATATGTCCTCCAGGTCTTGCTAAACCTTAATCAGGTCCCTTAAACATATCCTGCTGGTTGACAACAGCCAACAGAATATTACGATTTTATGTTTTTGTCACAGGAACATCAAATAACTTACTTACCATAATGGAGTTCATTTCTAGGAATTATGTATCATCTTGGCTTCACATCAAAATTCATCATTCAATTAAAGATGGCACGTAATTTTTAAAATTTTGTTCATTCATTCAGATACTGTCATAGCTTCTAGAATTTTAGACAATGTAGGCTTAATTAGGTAAAACTTTAGTGATTGATGAGAACAAAATTGCTAAATAAAGGTATGGAAGAGCTTAAAAGTGAAAAAAATCATGGAAGAGCTTAAAAGTGAAAGTTTGAGTATTGATAATGATCATTTAGTATATCTTTATTTTGAAGGTCAATGTGACAAAACATTGTCAACAGAAAAAGAGGTGGATAAATACTACTAAAGAAAAGTAATTTATCCATTATTACATATAGAGAAGTACTATTCTTTGGTAAAAGAACCAGGATCTAACTATGTTGGCCATATTACACCAGCTTCAGAAATATGACTAGCGATTGCTGAAAGTATTTACAACTATATCACAGCAGAAGAGCCAGAAGGTTTAAATCATGTTCTTGTTCTAGAGTGTGATGGAACGATTGTAAATACAGGGGTTCATAATGAGATACTGTATTGTCTTAAACTGAGGATCAGGAGATCAGTGCAATGGGTAATTTGTCAACTGCATTTCAACAAATTGCCTCTTTGCCACTAGTTTAATTCCCCTGATGGTCCTATCTCCTGACCAACTTCCTACACTGGTTGCATTGGAAAATCTTTGAAGGCCTGTGAGCTGCTCTCAGTAGTAACATTTAAGCCAGTTAACTGAACCTTGCCATCATTTGATATACCAAATTTGAGTGAGGACCAGATGTATCTGAAGAATATTGCTCTCATCATTAGCTCAGGCATACATCCAAAATATAATATTTTGTTGGCTGTGGTCTCGCTAAGCGCGAACCACAGCCAACAAAATATTAAGATTTTATGTTACCGTCACAGAATCATCAGATAACTTATGAACCATAGTGGAGTTCATTTCTAGGATGTATGTATCATCTTGGTTTCACATCAAAGTTCATCATTCAATTAAGGATGGAGCGTGGAATCTTTACAATTTCATTCAATCATTTAGATACTTAGATCAAGTTGACCTCAACATTATTAACCAATTTCTCGGCTTATATTGAATTCTATAACTATAACAGTTCAAGGATCTAACTATGTTGTTTATTTGTTATAAATTTTAGTTAAATAATGAAAAAACAGTGTATTTTTCTATTTTGGTGTAATTTCAGGCTCTTTGCCCAAACAAAAAAAATTGTCTGTAGGGTGTCAAATTTTGCCCAGTAGTTTATCATACATAGCTGCAACTTTGCACACTACCACAAAGTGCTGTGATGCCTTAAAAATATAAATAAATGAGAAAAGTAGAACTATTATACATCATGCCATGTTTGTTGTTACTGAGAGAAAATTTGATGCCTTGGAGGTTTGTTATTTTTATTTTACATTTGCTTTTGCATTTTACAAATTGTGGCATATAATGTGATGGTTAAGTTATTTTTATAAATAAAATTGGCTAGCTATATTGTGGTACATTAAAACCACACCTTTCTCAATGAAAATTTTGTAATTGGCACAAATTTTTTCAAAGAACATAGGTATTGGACTGTTTTATTGTTGCAAGTTGTCATGTTCTAAAATGTTATCAATTTGCAACACACAAAGTTTTTGTTTTTGTTTTTACCAACAACAAAAAAACACAGATACATTGCACTTTTTGTTAAAAAATTTTCTCCAATTTTGATTTAGGTCTAGGGATAAGAATTGGTTAAAAAAACCTTCATCAACTTTAAACCCTTAAAACATATAAACCCTTTAAACATTTAAAAATTTTAAACTCTTGCTGAAACAATAAACCCTTAAGTTAGGAGGAATATCTTACCCTATGAGGTTTATAATTTGAAATTTACCTTAACTAGATTTATAATTTATGATTGAGGTCAACATTTTTGATATTTAAATTTCAAAATTTTTATATTGGAGTAAATAAAAAAAAAATTAAATATTTGAAAATAAGGTAATTTCAATATCTTTTAATTGAAATGATAAAGTTATGTAATTCTAAATCTTATTGACAATTCATTCCAGCCTTACTTCAAGCCTGGCAATTATCTAAGTTGTGTACACACTGATAGCAACTAACTGTTATAATGAATAATCTTCCACAAATTATTAAAGTTGTCTGCCACATCACCAAATAAAATTATTTTTAATAAATCCATCTATCTTTATGAAGATGCTAAAACAACCTATAAGCTGGCATTGATAAACTAAACATGAAATCAGTTACAAAATAATTACAAATAAAGTATAATTTAATACAAAACTCTATTCAGTAAAAACTTTACAACCAAAATAGAACAACAATTTTAATCCAAAGTGGCCAGAATTTTCCAAAAAGTTCAAAATATAAAAAATGTTTAACAGAAATAGAATTAAATTAAGCTTTTCTATATGCATGATATCAAATTTGATATTTATTAACATAACAAAAATATTTTATATGGAGATAAAAATATGGTCATCAGTAAAATCCTGCAGTTGTTTTTAAAAATCTTTGTTATCTACAAATAATTAGTTGAGAAACTTAAATAAATCTGAATGCTAAGATAAAGTATACAGGAGTGCGAAGTACATCAAGACAAATTTAAAAATGTGAAAAATCAAGGGTTGATATGTTCAAATGTTTTCAAATAAACTGATTTATGGATGTCAATGTTTCTTGAATAACAATCTGAGTCGAATGATTCAGTAAGTTTTTGCTGAGCTATATTATTTTAACTTTGGTTATTGTCAATATTTTCAGTGTGGTTAGAAGCAACCATTTTTAAACATTCAAGTAGAATAATTCTATTGGTAATGATAGTTTTTACTCTAAAGCAAAATCAATTGCTTATGAA